ATTAATTTGGTATTGCAGATGTTGCTAAAATTTCAATAAACTTAATCAAATTTAAAAAGTTTGATTAAAAGTTAATTAAATAATCTTCTCATAATATGACGGATGGAGTTAGATGTGAGTATAACGAGTCGTGGGGACGCGCGGCGTGGGTCGCACGAGAGCCAGGTTTGGTGTGCGGACTTTTCATTAGTGGTCACTGTCTTTCAGATTTTTGTCTGTCGGCTAGCTCTGTTTGCGGCTGGATACGTATATCGCCGGTCTGTCTTGTTGTCCTCCTGTCCTGCTCCGATACAGGCAGTGGATTAGTCCCTCATCCAGGGTGAGAGATATGCTTTTGATGTTAGAATTTGTTTCTTCTTTCCAGCCGGTGGGCTATATCAACACGACTCTATTTGATGAGCGATCACTCCAAGTGATTGGCAAATGTTTTATCCGGAGTGCGTCCAGCGGAGGTAGGGATGAAAACCGATTGATTACGGTAAGAAACTAACTCTATCATATTTATTTTCATAATTATTTTTCAGAATCGAAATCAAAATCGAAAACCGGATATGAAAATAAAACCGAATATTATCGAAAACAAATACGGAACGAATACGAAGCGAAACAAATACGGTGACGAATATTAATCGGAATATAAAAACCCCTCACTACTACACAAATATTTTTTGTTGTACGAGACCCCATAATTTTTACAAATGGACCATAACTTGCCGCGTCGGCATTTACACATACGACTGCTTAAGACGCCAAAATAAGCTCATTTTTGCATGTGGACCACTCAAGAGCCCTGATGAGGACATCACTACCTCGGATACAGACAACAATCCTCCAACGGTCATTCAAGGACCGATAACAAGAGCTAGTGCGCGGCAATTAAATTTAGAGGTGAGCTCGTTCCTATGTTCTTCTTTGTATGAATTCGAGAATAGAGGGGACAAGGAAACACTTGGAGAAGGACTTAGAGCCATGGAGGATCATCGAGGACGTCTAAGTCAAGGTGGAGACCCAAACCAAATCGACCTCGGGTGCAATTCGGAGTCCAGAACCAGTCTGCATTAAAACGGAAGCCCAGGTCGCATACGCGCTCGGATTGGGGCGTTCTTTATATGGATGGAAAGCTAAGAAGATAACCTTTCCAATGGTTTTGGTCCCATGTCCAAATTCTTTTCGAGTCAATGGGAATCGACCGAATAAGTTGACATCCAGAATCTGTCCCGGTGCTACGTCACCGTATTTGGGCCTTTGGGCCGTGTATCGTGTTGGAACCCATTAGGGTTGCGTCGAGAGGGGATTGTACGACCCTAAACTCTATATATCAGTACCAGATATCCACAGATCCAAAAACTGCTCTACGCAGTGATCATTACATGAAGAAAGCTACGACACTACTTTCAAGCCCACAGAGTCACGGTTGTCTCCTCCTTCCCTCTCGGCGAAGTTGTGAGAAACAAAGGCGTTGTCGGCCGCATTGCGAAATGGGTAGTCGAGCTAAGTCAGTTTGATGTCCACTTTGCACCACGAACAGCCATCAAGTCCCAAGTACATGCTGATTTTATAGCTGACTGGACCATGCCTGACAATCAATCAGACAACTAGATCGACAACGAAACATGGACAATGGCATTCGACGGTGCACTCAACAGCCAAGGAGCAGGGGCAGGATTCATCTTGACATCTCCCTCCGGAGATCAATTCAAGCACGCAATCCACCTCAACTTCAGGACGACCAATAACACATCCGAGTACGAAGGACTACTCGCCGGGATAAGAAGAGCAGCCGCACTTGGGGTCAAACGACTGATCTTGAAAGGGGACTCCGAGCTAGTCGCGAACTAGGTACACAAAGATTATAAATGCTCTAACCCCGAGTTATCCAAGTACCTCGCAGAAGTCAGGAAGCTGGAGAAAAGGTTCGATGGGATCGTGGTTCGACACGTATACCGCAAGGACAACATCGAGCCAGATGACCTAGCACGACGTGCGTCCAGGCGAGAACCACTCGAGCCCGGCACCTTTCTGGACATCCTGACAAAGCCATCAGTGAAAGAGGCAATCGGCGAGATCAACACAGCCGTCCCCGACATCAACTCGGAGGCCAAAGAGGCGGAATGCGCCATCGCCGATATCGAGACCACAGACGACTGGCGCACCCCACTGATCAAATTCATTAACAGCGAAGAGTTGCCCGAGGACGACGTAGAGGCCGAGAAAATAACCCGTAAAGCAAAAATCTACTGCACGATCGGCAACAATCTATACAAGAAAGCGCCAAACGGAGTACTTCTCAAATGCGTCTTGTCCGACGACAGCAGACACCTCCTCCTCGATATACATGAAGGCATCTGTGGGTCACATGCCGCCGGTCGCGCATTGGTCAGGAAAGCCTTTCGACAAGGGTTTTTCTGGCCAACCGCCCTCAAAGACGCATGTGACATGGTCTAGTGGTGTGAAGCCTGCCAATTCCACAACAAGCACACAAAATCACTTGCACAAGTGCTCCAGACCATCCCTCTTACTTGGCCGTTCTCGTGCTGGGGGCTAGATATACTCGGGCCATTCCAGCGAGGACAGGGCGGCTACAAGTTCCTATTCGTGGCGATCGACAAATTCAATAAATGGATCGAAGCAGTTCCCACGGGGGAAATCAAAGCCGCCAACGCCATCAAGTTCATCAAGGGAATATTTTGCAGATACGGACTACCGCATCGCATCATTACTGACAACTGCTCCCAGTTCATCAGCACCGATTTCCAGGATTACTGCATCGGGCTGGGAGTCAAAATATGCTTCGCTTCGTTTCCCATCCTCAAAGTATCGGACTAGTCAAGAGGGCAAACGGCATAGTACTACAAGGGACCAAGACCCGTGTCTACGACAGGCTCATGACACATGACAACAAATGGGTCGAAGAACTCCCATCAGTACTATGGGCCATACGCACCACACCAACAACGTCCAACAAGAAAACACCCTTCTTCCTCGTGTACGGCTCCGAGGCCATGCTCCCTAGTGAGCTACGACATCAGAGTACACGAGCACAGAAGTATTCCGACGAGGAACAGGAGGAGCAGCGAAACGACGATGTGAATCTACTCGAGGAACATCGCGAGCGAGTTGCCGTTCGAGCAGCCGCCTACCTACAAGCCCTTCGCCGCTACCACGAGAAGCGCATCCGAGCCCGCATACTTTCGATCGACGACTACGTCCTCCGAAGGGTTCAAAGCCAAGTAGGGCGAAACAAGCTCTCACCCAAATGGGAAGGACCATACACGATCACACAAGTCTTGCGATCAGGCGCATTCAAAATTGCAGACGGCGATGGCCACGAGTTGGCAAACTCATGGAACATTGACCAACTACGTAAATTCTATGTATGAGTCAATACCATCCATATCTGTAAGACAACTTACATCATCAATAAAGCCTATTTTCAGGCGCATATTACAATCACAGTGTTCCTGCCTGATGATCCCTCACTCAGACGACACCTAGCGTTGACACCTATCCTCATGTCCCTTTACGCCATGCTGACAAGGCCTCCGAGAAACCTAAGGGATCTTCGGCTGGGGACGCCCAGAGCCGATAAGGCCTTGTCGGATTTTGTAGAGACGAAAGACCATGTCAGACCTGGTCGTGTAAGAGTTCTCCCCATGCGTATTAACCAAGCCGCGTAATCGGAAATGAACTTTCCAACTTCACGGCTGGGGGCTAGGATTAGTGCTTGTTCAACCGAGGCAGGTCAAAGGTCTAAGAGCCTTGTCCCCCGAGAAGAATTCTCCAACGGCAAGGCTGGGGGCTAGAGAGAGTGTACAACTCAAACGACTGGCCAAAGTCGGAAACTAAGGAGGCACTCTTACACACTATATCCAGAGTAAGAAGGGCTCATTAAGATAGATTTCTTTTCTATTTCATAAGATACTTCTTACAATTTCACACAAGTCCAAAACCATATTACACTTTTCCCCAAGATGTCTATCGCAGGGTGCAAAGGCTACCAGGAAGGCCAACGCTAGTCCATCGACTGGAAAACTTTTTCCGTCAGCGGTGCCATCGACTTCGCCAGGTCATCTATCTCCGCAGGAGTCCTCCGAGAACGTGAAAAACCTTCCCGGAGGAACTCGAGGTGCAGCTGCGGACGGTGATCCCGTATACAGGCCAACACGTGCCCCCCGGCATACCGGCTTGAGCGGTGACACTCCTGCTTCAAGGCCCCGTCGATGCGTCAACCAATGGCTTCAAGCTGAGCGCAGGCCCCGTTCAACCACGAGATGTATCTGGCCGCCGATTCTTCGGGGTCGCCACGAGGTACTCGGAGCTCCCTACAGACCCTCGACATGGACGTGCAGCAACTCTTCAGATACGAGTCGAACCACACCTCGCGACCCCTGAGTGCCTCCACGGCCTGGTCTTTTTTCATCTCAACCATCGCCCTCTCGAGTTATGCGACTTCACACTTTGTCTTCCAATATTGGATGCGACGGTTTTGGTCAGCAAGTCTACCCTCGAGATCTGCTCTTCCATTCCGAGAACACAAAAATCAAGTTACCCCGGGAAGAAGAATAAAAGAAATGGAAACAAAGATCACCAACCTAAGGAGGTCATCGCCACACCCATTTCCACGGGTGAGTTTCGTCCCATCTCGTCCTGCGACACAGGCGTTTGGAGGGCAATCGCCGGAACGACCACTGGTAACTCGGCTGCCCACGCTGCTGGACATCCTCGACATCGACATCCCTACAAACGACAACCAAAAATACTCAGGACCAGGGTGCCAACAGAGATCAAGGCAGCGATTGCGCGAAGAAAGGCAGTCGAAGCCGACAAATCTTATACAAAGTGTAGTCGATTACAGAGGAGCTGAGGCCCTACTCTTCAAAGAACGGGAGAACAGACTCTCCCAGTTCGCCAATCTCCTCCATCACACCCTTACGAGCGTCGTTGGCGGCCCCCCGATCAAAGATCTACCGAAGATCGAGTTTGGGGTGCGCCAACCTTACGCACGCTAGGACGTGACAGGCCCCGGTGTAAATCCCGTTTGACGCCTCCTCCACGATCCTGGCCGCATGTTTGGAGGGTATCGCCTCCATTGCCGTAGCCAGTTCCGCAAGCGAGGACGTCAGCGAGAACTCGTCGGGGTTCGCCGGGATGGTTGTCGTGACGCCACACTCCCCGACGAGCTGATGAAGACCGGTGTAGGTGACCCGCAGCGACCCACGGATCTCCGACAAGTTGTTCTCGAGCTCCGACATCCGGACCTCGAGTCCCCGCCGTTGCCGTTCGTTACCGGCCACCAGCTCCCTCATTTTCTGGAGGTCCTCGCGAGCCTCCGCCAGGTCGTGTTACAGCTTGTCGGCACGCTTGTTCGCCGATGACGCTGCCACTGCCTTCGCCTCTTGATCTCGCAACTTATGCCGCGAGTGCCAGCCTCGAGGATGCGCTTCATCTCAGCTTGAAGCTCCTCCCAGGTGAGGACATCAGCCGGCGGTCCACGAGTAGGTCCGAGGCCGCTGGATGGCCCGCTCGGCATCGCTTCACGGCTCTTTGACACGACCACGACATCGGTTGAGGCCGCCGCAGGAGACGCTCTGGAGGCCCCTCCGGACCTGTCCTGCGCCGCTCTCGCCTGCGCCGACCTGCAAAAGATCCTCACGTCCGGCCCTCAAAACAAGCCGCCAGAAGATAAACAAGGAAAGGATCTCGACTTCCGTTTACATACTTCTCGCCTAGCGTCACCAGCTTTCTCTGTCGCGGAGGTGGCGGAGACGCGTCCACGGCCTGGGTAAATCGAGCGCGAGTTGAGGGCGGCACTTTTCGAATACGAAATTAAGGAGTCAAGGGACTTACCGGTGGGGAGGATGCTTTCCGGCGGCTACCGAGCACGGAGGTGAACGTTCTTCGCATTTTCGGGACACGGCTTCCACTAGTCGCGGCAGCAGCGGCCACGTCGGACATCTCCCGAGCGACGCTCTCCTTCAGTGAGGCCGCCGCCTGGTGGTCCGCGAGCGGTCCAATGACGTCAGTCAGAGGGAGAGCCTACACCACATGAAGTCATTTTCCAACCCGTGAAGCAAAAATAGCGAGGTTGCCGAATACACTCACGTTGATTGCGGCTTCGCGCTCGGTCGCCTCCTTCTCACAAAGAGGCACGGGGATGTCGCTTGCCGTTGTCGGGCCGCTAATCATCAATTGGCCGACGCGGCACTCCACGGTAGCGCTACTCAAGCCTGCAGATCGAGAACAGAATTTGATAAATCAGGAAGAACATGATCAGAAGGGAATCAATTTAACTAAAAAGGAAAATACCCCGAGGAGAAACCCGGGTCGCGTCCTCCGGCCCGGAATAGTCAAAGGCTGGGTGGGCTCGAGCCTGGAGTGGCTGGATCCGCCTACCAACGAAGTCGGTAGCGACTTCATACCCCGACAAACCTCGTACTCGGAGGTCGTCGATGGCATCGATGAAGCACTGGAGTGAAGGGGCCAAGACAGGCTTTGCGGTCCAAGACGAAATTTTGTCTTGTTGTTCCTCGGGAACAACAAAGACAGGGTCCGAATTCTTTATCTGAAGATAGAACCACCTCGCCCGCCATTTGCTACGAGAAGAAGGGCACTAGAACGGGATATAGCGCGACTTCAAACCATCCTGAAGTCGGAACCCGACGCATCTGGACACCCTGTTGGATTCCATCCAACGCAACTCATAGTAAAAGCGGAAGAGATCGAGGAAGGGCTCTACCCCAATGTAGGCCTCACAAAGGTGCGGAAAAATACTAAGGAAGGCAATGGAATTGGGGTTCAAGTGGAGCAGAGAAAGGCCGTAGAAGTTCAGAACCAATAGAAGAAATTCAGAAGGTGGAGGGAGAAAACCACAAAGAATGTAATCCTTGATCGCAACCATGTGACCCAGGACAGGCTGGGGTTCAGTACCTCCTACTTCTCTCTCCATGACTCCATGACCGGGAAGGGCGCCATCTTCCTGGAGCTTCTTCAGCGACGCGTTGGTGGAAGTAGACGTGCCGAGATCCATCGCCGACTACAGATCGCTGGAGGAAGGGCGGAGATTGACAAGCTAGGGTTTTTACGGAGGCGGGGAAGACGAGGGACGCCTGGAGGTTGGAAAGTTTTCTCACAACAGGCGGACTTCAAAATGAATCCCCAAAACTCCCCTAAATAGACACGCTTCGCATGGCGCGAATTTGAAGGGAAGGAGAGAGAGATGCCCGCCGGAATTTTCTGGGTCTGTTACGCGCGGCGGTTTCTTGGACTTCAGTTTAAATTCACTCATGACCGTTGGGCTTCACATGGTGTTCTTGATTATGTCTTGTCTCTACGGTTTCCACACCGAGAACGACATCAGCTTCGACATCAGAAGTCGCGATTGGTCACACGAGTTCATTTAAGCAGAAGTCGGGGGCTACTGTCAGGGTTACGGGTTAGGGATACCCCTTACCCTTCGATATATCTCACGTATCGATATGGCATGCCCGCGCATACATGGACACTCTCTGTATGAGTTAAGGAAATCCTTCGCGGAATTGGCAGACGAAAAGAGACCTACTCGGACAAGGCTAGGTTCTCAACGTATCGTGTACGGTTCGACGTCTCCGAGTCCTGCTTGGAGATTGCTTGACCCGCGATATAAAAGGGACCCCCTGGGAGAACCTGGGGGGACGGAATCTCTCACAGCCAACACCACTGCCACAGTCTACGAAGTCAGAGCCCGCGGAAGCCAGATCGCCGGGAGGTCTAGTCGGATTAACTCGATTACGATCTCGTCGGTTTCATCGAGTTCCATCGTTCCCTTTGTAACCTGTGATTTCCATGATATAATCCCATACCAACTGCATTAGGGCTATTACCTATCAAGGGGCCTGAACCAGTATAATTTTCGTCTTCTGTTTGCTTGATGTCGTATTACGTGGACCCTTGTATCAACGTACCCCAATACTCTCTATATCCGGTCTACAGGTATCACCCGTCGACACCGCCATCTTTAGGTTTTTGGGTTTTGCTTAGATTATTCTGTCAAGAACAGTTTCGCCGCTAGATCGGTTTGTAGAACCCCAAATTTGTGTGCTTAATCGTTCATATGCAATTTGGTTGCAATATATCTTGTTCTTGCTTGTGTTCTTCGATTCGCATGCAGGGATTAGCCTTCTCGGCGAGGTCAACCGGATTTCGGCACGGTTGATAACCAGAGGAGACGTGGTACTGCGATTGCGGGGCTCAGTAGCGTGTTCGTTCAGAAGCCAGATCGAGTTGTGTCGTGACTCTGCCCAAATCGACTGTTGATCAATACCTATCGGTAGATCGGGACCTAACTCCCTCATCAAGCCCGCATGGAAAAATGAAATTTTCCATACGGGCATCTTAAGGAGCCGTATGCGAAAATAAAATTTAAAAATTTGAAACTAGTTTATTGTAGACCCCCGATTTTGGAAATCGGAAATCTTCTGTGTTTATCCGTACCAATCCCTGGATCAGTAGTTGGTACACACATACATAGTTGGATCACAACATATCACGAATGAATTCAGGCTAAAAGGGTTAAATACTTACATTAGGGCCAGGTAGGCCAACAACTATCAGAGAACAACAGCGGAAGACAAAATAATATAAGGGCCCGGTTAACATGCCACAGGCAGTCGACTGGGGAACGAGACCTAGAACAAGACCGCACTCCGATCATCTTGTTGGATACGCAAACGTACCGACAAGAGCTTCTCTTCAACACTCTCCTAAAAGATATATAAATAGGAAGGGTGAGTACCAACCATACTCAGCAAGCCACCACAGCAACGATGCATATGATAGAGGGTATTTCAAGGAATGGCTTCAGGTTCCTTTGCATAAAGCTAGTTTTGCAAATCTTTTCACAAGCCTAAGACCTAGCATAAACTGATCAAATTTTAATACCAGTGTTCACATTAAACAACGACGGTTCTGTCCACCATCCATTGTGATCCCAAGGATAGCTTCCCGCCATTGAGTCGTCATGGTTTTCTGAGGACGTCCACCTTCCCGTCTCTCAGGAAGTGGCTCCAACAGCATAAAAATTATCATGCAATATCCCATCCCACACAAGTTAAGAATTTAGAGTCTAGCCAAGTGTAATACACGTCCCGGTGCTCAATAACCGCGAGCACGGCTATTCGAATAGATTTGGTTTACTCACACTGCAGTGGATGTACACTTTACCCGCACTCCGCAACTGCCCAACACATGAGCCTCGTCCCAACACATGAGACGCGTCATGGCAAAGCTTTTTGATAACCTCGCATTGGCAGTACCCGCTCCATGAACTTTACATCCTCATGCACTCTAGGTGTACACGGTTTCCAGCAGTGAGAGGAGCTTTTGCGCACCCGGGATGGGAAGACTCACACATGCATTAAGTTATAATTATATTTAGATTCTCACATGGCAGTCCTACCGATGGCGACACCACTGTGGACACCCGCCTCGCGGTCCTACCAATGGCTGCCCCACCGTAGAGCCCCTGCCTCACACATCAAGAAACCACTATGCATGGATACTGCCTCCGCTCAGCTATCTACTCCGCTAGGTCTATACCCATACGAGAAGTGCGGTTGTACGGGGGGTCGTTTCATGCTTAACTTCATGGCTCGGTCCCTAATTAACTGGGGACGGCACTAGCCTTTTCCGGACACCACCCAAATCCTCCGTCCGCCCCAGTCGAAAACAGTTGTTTAATTTTATTTCTCTTTTCACAAATCATGTTATCAACATCATGGCAATGTGGCGCTCATGTCTCCACATGCCGCATCTCAATTACCTTCCCAAAGGTAATTGTCCAAGCATATAGCATTTGATAAATATGAGTATGCATGATTCTAGAATAGCATTTCTAAGCAATTGTCATAATTGACTAGGGACTCATACGTAAACATGGTTACGAAGGCATAAGGGGTAAACAATAATCAAGGCATGGCATAATCACAAGTAGGATGTTCATCATTGCATGCAATTTTATTTGTAAACAAAATAATTTCGCAATTGGGATCAACATGTGCAAGGAATAGTGATGACTTGCCTGCTCAGAGTAGTTCTTATTCTTAATATAATCTTGATCAACCTTCACCTCCTGGAAGCTGCATACGTTGCCTCACGACTAACCGATACACAGTCTAGAATACGCGAGAAAAAAAAACCAATATTCAAGCAACAATCAAATATGCACAAACAAAATATATTTGTTGAGGTCGAACCTAAGGTTGCTCATATTATTCGC